TCATCTCGACAACATATCCAAGAGGATGAGGGCTGGGGTCATTGAGGTGGTGCTGCCGGGACTAGTACCACCTCAGCCTCGGAGGTCACACCAACTGTGTGCCGCCTGCTTCCCCAAGTCTGTAAACTCACCTCTTGGCCCTTTTCTCGTTCCCATTGGGTGTCTTTCTCGAGTGTTGGACCCTCTTGGCACATTGGTTGTGTCCACATCACATGACCATCGCATTGTCTTCAGTGAGACACACAACAGACTGGGCAGCATTTCCTTGTTGAACACACGGCTCACAACCTCCAGCACGGTGTTTGGATAACTTCCTTGAGAAGTTTTCTGTTCTGTTGATTTGTGTTCTGCAAGGTTCTACTAGAGTGTGTTTCAGAGCTGCCTGGTTATCTAGCTCATTCGCGGCACCTTTTTTCCTCACCACGTTCACCCACTTCCAGCCGGAGCGTGTGGCAGTTTTCTGCATTGCTCTGGAATGAAGTCAGGCTCCCTGCCCTGCTCACTATCTCTCAGTCCTGGTTGCTCTTTGGTTAGAGCCCTCTTTCCCACCCTGGGTGGGGACCTTGGTGGTCAGGCTCCAGCTCCTTCATGGTAGATGCCCTGAGCTTGGTACTCTAGTTCTGCCCTTTCCTGGGAACTCTGTTGCCCCACTGGTGATCTCTGGGGACAGCACATTTCTGGGAGCTTCCTCCTGTCTGGACATCAGGCACCCATCCCTCTCCTGGTCCTGAACCACAGACTTGGTCAGCATGCTGTTTCCAAGGTTCACTCCCGAACTGGTGTGCATCATGGCTTCATTTCCCTTTATGACTAAGCAGTAGTCCACTGTGTGGACGGACAACATTGGGCTTACTCGCTCCTCTGTTGATGAACAGTCTGGTTGCTTCCATCTCTTGGTTATTGTGAAAAAGTTGCAATGAGCTTTGTTGTACAAGGGTCTGCTTCCCATTATTTACCTTGGACGAGGAACAGCCAGAATAGCTCCTTAGAGGCAAAGGTGGCAAAGCTTTGTCTCTCATACTTGGGGCAGCTAGGAGGGAGTATTCCTTGGGAAGGGATATGATGCTTGGGAAAGTGGAGGGTCAATGAAGAGAAGACTTCCTCAGTGAGATGAATTGACACAGTGCTGCAGTGGGCTCAAGTATGTCAGAGATGATGAGGTTCAGATCTCTTACTCATTGGGTCACTGTGAGTCACACTTGGCTCAGTGGCACATAACAACAACCATTGTACAACCGTGTCCACTCTCCATTTCCGGTCAGTGGAATTCTTTAACCTGGTCTTGTGTTTCTCACATCACTCAGCGTAATGCTTCCAAGACTCACCCATGTTGCACCAGGACTCCTGTGCTGAGTGGCTTTTCTGTTGTATGAATGGACCACATAGTGGTGGGCATTTGGTCAGTTGCCACCGTTAGGGCATTGGGAATTGTACTGCCCTTACAAACATACGTGTACAAGTTTTTTGTTTGAACACCTGTTTTCATTTCTTGCAAATATATGCATAGGACTGGAATCACTGGATCATGCTTACCTTTTTTGGGAACCACCAAACTAGTTCCCACAGCTGTTGTACCATTCTACATTCCCATGAGAAGTAGACACCAGTTAGTATAGCTCATTCCCAGCAGCCATACACACAGGTTAATATAGGTCATTCCCAGCAACCATACACACAGGTTAGTATAGGTCATTCCCTTCAGTCATGCACACAGGTTAGAATAGCTCATTCACTTCAGCCGTACACACAGGTTAGTACAGCCCGTTTCCAGCAATAGTACACACAGGTTAGTATAGCTCATTCCCAGCAAACACAGAGGTGTCAGTTTCTCCACATCCTCACCAGTGCATGTTGACAAGCATCTTTTTGATTGCAGTTGTTCTAGTGAGCATAGAAGGGTACCTCCTTGTGGTTTTGATTGACATTTGCCTGATGATTAAAGATGTGAAACATCTTTCCATGTACTTGCTGGTCTTTTGTGAGAAATGTGTGTTCGAATCCTTTGCCCATGTTTAAGTCAAGCTGTCCTTTCACTGTGGATTGTAACTGATATTTACATACCCTCAGCCCCACCTCTTCTTGGACATGTGACTACTGATATTTTCTCCAAGCCTTTGGGTAGTCTCACGCTTAATGATACATCTTTGAAGTTGGAATGTGTCCCCTCACATTGACCTGGTGGATCTTGAGCCCCCTTTGACCTGTGTCCATTTTGAAAAAAGCAGCTGCCTTGTGGGAGTGCTGATGGCACTCACAGCAACCTCTTTGGACAAGGGATATGGAAGCATTCCCAAGAAGGTGCGTGACAGGTGCACTCTGCACACAGGTACTTTCTTGTTCAGGGGGTGACACTTAGTGTGCTGGGTGACAGTGTTGGGGACTCCGATTGTTCATCTCCACCTTTATGTTCTGCTTCTGGTCAAGGTTATTATAGTGGGAGTCACCACTCCAGCTCTGCCTTCCGGGTAGCAGCAGACACCACCTGTATCTATCAGATGAGTTGTCCCACCTCAAAGCTGCTATAGGCAGTGTTGAGCTGTGGGTTGTGGGCTGTGGGCTGTGGCATGTAGGCCATTGCTCTGAGATGGGGGCTGTTGCTGTGGGCTGTGGGACGTGGATTGTGGGCTTGTGGGATGAAGGCTGTAAACCAGTCGGCTACTAGACTTGGACTTGGAACTGTGGCATGGGAGATACACCTTTGGACTTGGGCTGCAGTGTTTCTACCAAAGGGGGCGTGACGCCCACTGGCATCATGGCCAGGGAGGCAGAAGTGGCCTGGCAGGCTCTCAGTTCTGTGCCCCTTCTGCTTCATCCTCTCAGCCCCCAGAGGCAAGGATGGCTCCGCTGGGGAGCCAGGTCAGTGGGAGGAGGAGGGACTCCAGACTTGAAAGACAGCCCCATACATTTGCTTTCTCGACTGCTGCTTCCATGGGCATTGATTGCTTGTTGAACCACCTAGAACACGGTGACAAAGTTGTTTCATCTGCTTGTTGGAGGCTGTCGATGAATCTTCTCTGTTCTTCTCCTGGCTTGTGCAGATTGAGTGAATGAGTATGGTGAAAGGTTATAATACTGCCACACAGCTTCTCCAGCTTTAAACCTGATCATATCTGTCCCCTTAATCTGTTGAAACAACTTCCTCTGGGTCCACGTGCAGATTCTGCAGGAGGACATCTAAGTGTTTCATCTACGTGGAATCCCCATCTCTATAATGTCATAAGTAATGTTATCAGAAACCCTATGTGTGTGCTCTCTGGATGTTGACTGAGAGCTTTGGGACCACCCTTGTCCTTAGTGGACAGAGGACAAAGTCACAAGTGTCCAGTGCCCTGTCCCTTGGGGAGCCCCAACAAGAGCTGTTCTGGCAGCTCTGCCCTAGCCCTGGGTCTGCGCTGTGTGTGCTGGCAAGTGGGGGATCTGGCCCCTGCACCCCAGCCACAGCTGCACTGGGTCCTGAGAATCTAGTACTCCCCACCCCAGAAACTGTGCTCTGAGGTTTCCCCAGCGTGTCAGACGGCGCCGGCTGTGGCTTTCCTGGGCGAGAGCTCGACCTCGTCTTCACGCCCTAGTTCAGTGTTTGCTCAGACAGGAAGCCCCACCCTTGTGCGGTGTCACCGGCCCTGAACCCGGCAGGACTCTTGGCACCCAAACAGTGAGGGGAGGGGCTCCCACCTGGCACAGCCCTTAGGAGATGGGACTCTGGGATGTCAGTGTCTCTCTGGGTGATTGATCACTGCAGGTCTTGGGAGAAATCTGTGTGTCTCAGCCTCCAGGTGCCTGGAAGACGTGTCTCCGGCCAGGGCAGGAGGTGCTAGGCGTGTGGACCTTGACTTGCAGCACAGGGTTCTGGCTTGTTCCTTGCCGGAGCAGCTGCTGCCTCTGCAGGACAAAGGCCTAGAAACACCCAGCCCCTCACCCACCCCACACCCTGCCTGGGCATAAGCAGAGTGTTCTGAGATAGGACTTCCTGCCCCTCGAGCCAGCTCCTCCCTGTCTGGCCTCACCAGGTTACTGCGGCCACAGGTCTGGGAAGGTGACTATACACACATGAATGCACACATACATACATGTGTACATGCGATACCATACCCCTGGTGTCATCCAAGGACCCCACCCCAGGCCCCAGCTTGTCTCTCTTTTTGAGGTGACCACAATAACTCGCTGGGCACCTTAGTTGGCTGTTACTTCCAGCTGCTTTATCCTCAGCCCACGCCCCACCCCAGTCCTGCTCTATGTCCCCCAGATGGGAAGAACTGCTATGAGTGGGTACAGATAAGAGGACTCACCAGCACTCCCCTGCTGCCATGCTAGTAGGATCCCCCAAGGATAACCTAACGCAGTGACTGAGTCATCCGGGAAAAGGTCCCCCTTTGTGGCCCCTCCATGGCTCGTTTTGTATTCCTCTGGGACCCTGCCAGCCCACATCCCATGTGAAGGCGAACAGGTCCGATCTCTGGGCTAACTAACATAGCATATGAGCCCCTCAGTGCTCCCAGCAGCCAGGAGGGAGTCCACTCTCCTTATAAAGACTGCATGCTGTGACTGTCTCTTGGGAATGAACTTCCTGCACTGTTGAACCATTGGGGGCAGCCAGGGGGCCTCAGGAGCACCAGTCCCTAAGACCCCATCAGGACCCACTTGGGCTGCAGGGACGCCTCCCTTAGCAGCCAGGGTCTTTGTGGGGCACAGCCACTGGCAGACCCTGCTCAGGGCTGGCACTCAGCATCCACTGCAGCTGCAGCGGTGAGGTCATCGGCCCTGAGTGTGACAGCAGTGCCACAGAACCTGCTCTGTTGGTGATTGGTGGCTCCTCCTGGGGAGACAGTAGTGTCGTGCTCAGTTTCACATGTCATGTACACAGCCTTGGCTCACCCCCTCAGTGCCCCTGGGCCAGGCTCTTGGGGGTCGTTCCTGAAGCCTCAGTGACAAGAAGTGTTAGAACCTCCATAGCCAGTTGAGGCCCTTGAGGTGTCAACATGATCCTGTCTTTTTCCCCACAGGTGTCCTCCGAACCCCCGGCCTCCATAAGACCCAAGGCAGATGACACGTCCTCTCAGTCCCCCGCCACCACAGAGAAAGACAAGCAGTCCAGCTGGCTGCGGACCCTCTCTGGTTCCTCCAATAAGGTGCTACTTTGGAACATCCCTGCATGCACCTTGGGTCAAGGGTCCTCGGGAGGGAGCCCACCCCCACAGACCCGGGACCTGCTCCTTACACAACACCCCCTCTTCAGAGCCTGGGCTGCGTGCATCCACGCCAGCGCCTCTCCGCCTTCCGACCCTGGTCCCCTGCGGTCTCCTCCAGCGACAAGGAGCTCCCCCCTCACCTCCCAGCACTGATTCGAGACAGGTGAGTGCCCCCAGCTCTGTGGTGGTCAGGATGGCCCCCTGTCTGTGGTGACAGATGAAGTGAGGCATTTGTTGACTGAGGGGGAATGTGTGCCCGTTCTAAACATAGTGACAGTCACGTTTTCTAAGCAAGCGGAGTTGTAAGCGATCCGAAAGTTTCCGAGACCGTGATATTAGGGACTGGCCTAGACCCGCCTGACACCCATTCATCCAGCCCTCTCCCCCACATTCTAGAGTACTCTTTACAACGTGCTAGTGAGAAGTCACATATGCTTGTAGAGAATTTCCAGTGCAGAGTCCACATCCAGCCTTGCCCTTGCCCTGCTTGAAGTACTTGGGGCCATGCTCCCCCATGTCAGCCGCCACCTTGTGGCATTCTGGGTGCCCCTTGACCCTGACAAGTCCCTGCGATGGTTGCAGTGCAGCTGCTCCTTGCAGATGTATGCAGAGGGCTCATCCGGGTCCTGGTTGACCCAGGTTAGGCCGGCTCCACTTTTTAGTCCCTTAGATGCTACTTCTGTACAGCGTAGGTGGGATGCCCAGATGTTCCCAAAGTAAGAGTCCTTTGAAACTTGGGTGGCCCCTCCAGAGCCTTGCCTTTCCCGGTTTTCTAGAGGACCATGGAAAAGGCTGTGTTCCATGCTGGCTAGAGCCCAGGATTCTTGATCCTTGTAAGTCTGACGTTCAGATGCCTGAGATGACAAGCATGTCTGCTGTGGGCTCTGAGGCCCAGGCCTAGGCACAGGTGCGTTAGGAGACTGTAGGCAGGGAGCAGGCACCTGGCTTGACACCTACTGCCCTTTGCAGCTTCTACTCCTATAAGAGCTTCGAGACAGCCGTGGCCCCCAACGTGGCTCTCGCGCCCCCGGCCCAGCAGAAGGTTGTGACCAGCCCACCATGTGCCACCATCGTCTCCCGGGCCCCCGAGCCCCTCTCTATGTCCATCCAGCCACGGAAGCGGAAGCTGGTTGAGGAGAACCCCGTGGTCCCCGAGACCTTGGTGCCTCTCACTGCCCCAGAGGAGGACAAGGACTCTGAGGCTGAGGTTGAAGTTGAAAGTAGAGAGGAATGTAAGTGTGAGTTGAATTTTCTTTTTTACTTCCTGCGGACATTGCAAAAACTCGGGTGTAGGGCAGGCAGGGGGCTCCTTGGGAAGGGTGATGTTGCACGGGGCCCTTGAATGAGCACAGTGGGAGCCAGGAGGGCTTGAGGTGGGGGGTACAGGCTCCTCCTAGGCAGTCAGGTGGGGACATGTCCACCTATGTGTGTGTACCATCTGCGCATAGAAAACCTGCTGAACTCATGTGTGAGTATGGCCCAGCCCTGACTTGAGGGTCCGTTGGTTTCGGGTGCCCTGCTTTGGAGAGCACCCTTTAGCGTTCGGCTTGTCATTTGTTTCTGCAGTCACCTCCTCCCTGTCCTCGCTGTCGTCTCCATCCTTTACCTCGTCCAGTTCTGCCAAGGACCTGAGCTCCCCCGGTATGCATGCCCCACCCGCTGCCAGCGCCACCCTGGACTCTGCTGGCCATGCCGAGGCCACGGGGGGCGGGCTGGAGGCGGAGCTGGAGCACCTGCGGCAGGCGCTGGAGAGTGGCCTGGACACCAAGGAAGCCAAAGAGAAGTTCCTGCACGAGGTGGTGCGGATGCGCGTGCGGCAGGAGGAGAAGCTGAGTGCCGCCCTGCAGGCCAAGCGGAGCCTCCACCAGGTGCGGCCCTCCTGCCAGCGCAGGCCCCGCCAGGGTGGCATCAGGGCCAGAGCCCGGGTGTGGTGGCCCCTCTGACGTCAGCTGCCCCTCGAGGAGGCCTGTGTGCTGGCCCCCCGATGAGTCAGTCATGTGCCCCACTGAGTGCCGCGTGATGACGCAGAGCGCTGCTCGATGTAGTGAGCCGGGCTATTTTTAGTGAAGGGAGTGAGGACAGCTGCACCCAAGACAATTTCACACTCTGTGAGCCAGAAGTAGGTACACACATGCCCTGCCAGCAGGGCCTGTTTCTGTAAAAGACGTTTGCATTGACATGGACCTGGAGCTCTGTGTTTGGAAGCGGATGGCTACAGCCCTGAGTAGTAAGGGAGCCAGCGGGACATGGTATCCAGGCACCCCACCGCAGGCACACGGATTCACAGCCCACACACACCACCCCCACCCTCCATGTACACACGCCTGCACCACCTCCACGTGCACTCCACTCCGAGCCACCTCCACATGCACAGGCCTCTACATCAACTCCATACACACACACCTCCACATGCACACCTCTGCGCCTCTACATCACCTCCATATGCACACTCTGCGTCAGTACACATACCTCTGCACACTTCTAAGCCACCTCCACAGACTTCTGCCTACACACGCCTACACCACCTCACCAGATGCTTCTGAGCCACCTCCATGCACACACGCCTCTGCACCCGCTCCGTCCACACACACTTCACACCGTCTCCACCTACACCACCCTGCTTGCGCCTCGGTATATGCACACCTCTGCTCCACTTCCAGGCACATACGCTCGTACTCACCACACATCCATACTCCCCCACTTCTTCCACACACACACCCCCCACACACGTCTCTAGTTTATAATATAGTCACTCTATTGTCTTGCTGTCCCCATACAGTGGATTCTGGCTGATTCCAGGCAGAGTGCTGCTGTCTGTTGAGGTCATCCCACGCCCTAACACTGTCCCGAGCTGTAGCCGCAGTTCCTGGTCTACCCATCTGCATCCCACTGGATGGAGAATTCCAGGGAGGATGTAGTTGGTTGCAGGGAGCCAGGACTTCTGCACCCCCACTGGCTAAGGGAGCACCTCGGTGGGTGCTGTGGCACGAGGCAGGATCAGCAGGCAGTTTGGGGGCAGCTTCTAGAGCAGCAGGCTATCATCCTGCAGGGCCCTGTGGTCCTCCTGACTTAGGGGGTGCCAACACTCGTCTGGATATGTCTCTGTGCTCATGGTTTGCTCAGTGGAGTGATCTGTACGTTCATAAAATGCAATGGCAGAGACATGAGATGGTGTCCCCATCTGGCTGTTGTCCCTCAGAGTCCCGTGTCCATGGGAGCCAGCTAGCATCACTGGCAACTCTGCCTCTGCCCAGAAGGGTACAGAGAGACCTGGGTGCCTTTTTGGCCTGAGTTACAGGGTGCTGGGGCTTTAAAGCTCGTGAGAGTGTGCATGCAGGATCCCTAGACTGGGGAGGGGCTGAGTTCTGGAGCAGATGCCCCTGTGATATGGGTGTCAGTGGACAGTCCCACCCGAGGGACTGCTGGGGAGGGAGCTGTGACTGCACCTGAGCGATGAGACAGGGCAGGCAGCGAGCTCCCCAGTGCCCTGAATGCCCCCCCACACACCCCGGCCTACCCCCCAGGAGCTGGAGTTCCTGCGTGTGGCCAAGAAGGAGAAGCTGCGAGAAGCCACAGAGGCGAAGCGCAACCTGCGGAAGGAGATCGAGCGGCTGCGCGCGGAGAACGAGAAGAAGATGAAGGAGGCGAATGAGTCGCGGGTGCGGCTCAAACGTGAGCTGGAGCAGGCGCGGCAGGTCCGGGTGTGCGACAAGGGCTGTGAGGCCGGCCGCCTTCGTGCCAAGTATTCGGCTCAGGTACACAGGACGGGGAGGGACAGGCTGCAAGGGCCCTGGCTCTGGAAGCCCAGCTCCTAGGCTCTCAGTGAGCCACGGCCCTATGTGGCCTGTGCGCCTGAGTATGGAGCCGCTGCACCCGGCAAACCCGCAGTGCCTTGTAGTAGAATCCCACCCCTCAGGCCCACGGGTTCTTCTCAACCCCAGGGTGCAGAGGCCCAGCGGGGAGGCGGCTGCCTGCGTGGGCCTGGCTGCCCTCTCCCCCCCACCCCCCCAGTACTGACGTGGCTTCCCCCCACAGATTGAGGACCTGCAGGTGAAGCTGCAGCACGCAGAGGCCGACCGGGAGCAGCTGCGTGCCGACCTGCTGCGGGAGCGTGAGGCCCGCGAGCACCTGGAGAAGGTGGTGAAGGAGCTGCAGGAGCAGCTGTGGCCCCGGCCGTGCGGCGAGGCGGCGGGTGGCGAGAGCACTGCCGAGCTGGAGCCATAGGGACCCCTCTGCCACTCCTCGTGGGGACGGCATGTGTCGGGATGGGCGGGTGCTCGGCGCCCGTGGCCGAGGAGGTGGCCAGGCCTGCGTCCACACCCCCTCGGTTCACACAGCACAACGTCTTACTGTGCCTATAACCAAGCGAGTGTTTGTAACCACATACTTTTGGAATCCACTGCAGAATTTTCTACTGGCCAATTCAAGGGAGCAAGCCACCCTGCGGCCCCGGCTGGCGACTCCGGGCAGCACAGCAGCGGCTCTGGGCGGCCCTCCGCTTGCTAGGACATTTTAACATTTACACTTTTGTTATAAGCTATTTAAAACCAATAAAGAGACTTGATACTCAGACAAAAAAAAAAATCAACGTTTTTTAATGACTGACTTTTGAATGCCCCACCAACACTCGACATCGACCTGAAGACCCGCTAAGGAAACCCCAGGGCGACGCCACGCGGCCCGCCCGGCCCTCGGAAGCCATCGCAGCTCATCACGCCCCTGCGGCCGGCCAGGACACCGGAGGGATTTTCTTCAGAGTCTATTTTTTAAGCGACAAGGACCCGGTTTTCCTGCAGCACCAGGAAGCATCAGGAGAGCGCCGCGCGAGAGAGTGATGAGCTGCAACACTGCCCGCCTTACTGACGTCCGCCCTGGTCCCGCATTGTCACCATGCCATCAGCACGCGTGTCTGGAACGCACACCCACCGAGGGACAGAGTCCGCAGAGGTCATCAACAGAGAGGGGACAGGGAATGGGCGTCTAGCCCCGCCCCCACACACACACACCCCCGAGCCCTCCACCGAGCGGGGTCAGCCCCAGCGTGCCGGGGTGACAGTGCTGCCCGCCACCACGACCACAGTGCCCCCTCAGCTCCACAGACATCGCCCCTCCATTACACATCAGAACAAATGCAGCATCACTTCACTTCTGTCTGTCCATCTGTTCATTTAAACGTATCCTTGGAACTGCACTTTGTCAAGAATCTTCCCTCCTCTTTTTACAACCCCTGTCTCAATGAGGATTTTCCTTTTAAGACATTGCAAGCCCGTTCGTAGAGCAGTTCTGATCCTAAGTGCTCGAGTGCTTAGAAATCCCCTCTGGTGCTTGGTTGAACAAGGGAATCACAAGAAAACGAAAATGCAAAAACTGAACTTCGGGGGGTGGTCTGTGCCTTCCAGCATCTTGTACAGAGAACCCTGACTCGTGTCTTTTTACCCCCAAAATACCCACCCTCAGTAGCGATCGAATCTGCCACTCTCAAAGTAAGTTACTTGCATTTATTCCAAATAATCTCGTTTACTATCAACTGTTTATGCAAAATTGTATAAGGTTTCTTAATGCCCAAGCTTGAAAAAGAAAAGTGAGTTCCCCCCTCCCCATAGACAAGAGGCGGCGACCCATCCTGAAATCATGGTATTTATTCACAGAAGAAGGATCTCGCGCCAAGTCTCTGCTGGAGTCTGTTCTAACACCACGGCAGGTGCCAGAGTTATGGGAGGTGGAAGCCGCCTGGGTGGGCACCAGCCAATCGCGAGGAGCCGCCACAGCCACAGCTGGTAGCAGGAAGCAAAGACCAGAGACTGCCACACCCCCAGCGTTTAGGTGACAGGATCGTCTGCAGGGTCTTGGCCCTTGGTTTACTGTGGGGGCTCGTGCCTACCGGGCCCCCTTCTAAAGTGCAATGCAAAAGGGACATCACATATATGCAGCGTTTGTTTAGAAACTTTTTGGTTACTTTTTTTTAAAAAAAAACTCTTTTTGCTTTTGTTTTTCTTTTTGCAGTTATTAAACCTGTATTGCATGGAATTTTAAACCTTTGCCACACGTATATCCATCAATGGGCATTATTACCGTGTCATGTAAAGGGTCGGTTTTGTTACGCAACACGCAGACGCTGTTCTCCGCCTTGTTTTTCCAGATTTGTGGTTTTTTTCCGTCATATCTTCAAGGGAAACTAAATGATTTAGTTGGAGCAAAGCTTTACGCGTGTCAGCGTGCTTCTGTGTGGCTGGGCTGCGCTGCTGAGGGTAAACTGCGGTGAGGTCCGGGGAGCCCACGCTGGGCCCCCTCCATCGGGCCGACCACTGGCTTGCTCTGAGTCTTTCAGCCCCAGATTCCCAGAGTTAATCCTTCCTGAGTTATATGTGTGTGTCACCCTCGTGGGGTGAAACCTCTGCTCCCCCGGGCCACCCACACATCCCGGTCACTCATTCATTCCCCCTTCCACTAACCCAGAGAGGCCCAAGACCTCAGAAGACCTGAACTGGCACTGCTAGCATGTCCCAGATGCCTGACAGGTGCAGGGTCCGGCTAGGCCCAGCAGTCCACCGCGCCGATGTCCAGGGTCCACCCGTCCCTCCATATTCCTCCCATGTCCCTGTGGGTCCACATGTCAGGCCCATGCAGGTGGAGAGCCTTGACCACCCAGGACTGGATGGTGGGCACGCCACATAGGACCTCCTTGGGTTTTCTCCCTGCCCCAGCTGCCTCTGGGTGGGACCTTTTCCCCAGGTGAGGCTCAGGGTGGCCATGCAGGGACCCTGCTGACCTAGGTCCCTGTTGGGTGCTCGGCTTCGCTGGGCCAGGGTGCCCTGAGCCCTTGGCTCCCGGCAAGCACACCTGCATTTAGTTTCTGTTGAGAAGGGAGAAGAGGCATCTATCCTGTGGGCTGTTGACTCTCCCAGTGTGTAAAACCCATTACCTAAATACTTATGTATTCATTTTCATTACTCATTATTTCTATACTGAAAGAAGATTTTTAACGAAGGGAAAAAAACAACAGCAATAACATATCTACGGAGCAGCTAACTCGTCCACGTAATACCCTGCTTTTCATACAGAACTAGCCCGTGTAAAGACAATTAACTTTGTAAATACTTTTTTTCCCTTTTACACCGTTGTATTATACATGTATATGGTGGTTCCTTTTTTCAGAAACTTTTTCTTACCTGGTAGTTGTCTTGTTTTCTGAGTTGTTTTTAATTGAGGAAAAACAAAAAGTGCTCACCTGCTAGCGGCAAAGATCCCCTTTGCCATTGACTGGGGTGCCCACCTGCTCGCCCCGGGTTCCAGGAGCTGCAGGGCGTGATGACACTCCCTCATCTCTGCCCAGTGGTCGCTGGGGCTGTCTTTTCTGATTGAGGGCCCCCGCCCCGTCCCCACAGTCCACAGGGTTGAGGGAGGTGTTTCGTTCTTGCTTTAAGTCAGATGTCACAGCTGACGTTTTTGGGTTTGGTTGTTTTTGGGGTGTTTGTTTTTTTTGTGGGGTTTTTGGGTGTTTTTTTTGTTTTGTTTTTTCAATTACGGAAAAAGACCACCTTGACCTTCGCCCTGCGTCCCACCCCGTGTCCCCATGCTGCTGCTAATGACAATATTACGACTTACTCTACTATTCGAGAACTATTTTTATGTAATTAATGTATGCTTTCTTGTTTATAAATGCCTGATTTAAAAAGAAAAAAAGAAACCGCTTGGCATATTTATCTACTCCTGTGTACTTGTTAGTCCTTCGGCCCTGCTTCCCACCCAACTTTGGCACAGACCAGACAGTCACAGAGGACTTGAATGTCAGGCAGCTGCGGGAACCCCCCAAACCACCTCCCATGGCAGTTGGGTGACATACGCTTGTCCCTCCCATTAATTTACCTTGGGAGTCCCACACCCCCGAGCACAGGGAGAGAAGTTGGCTGATCACACCGTTAGCCTTTGGTCTTCTAGGACCCCCTCAAGTGGACATGGACCAGGTTCAGATTGTAGCCTTCCCCAGGCCACCTGGCATATTTCATGTCTGGTGCCATGACCTGGCAGCCGTGGTCCACGTGTATGGGACTTTTTTTGCCCACTCCTCTCCTTAGCTACCTTGAGGAGGGTCATTGGACACCTCTGCTGGACCGAGTCCTCTGGTCCCCCAGTGCCCTCTGGGGGTCTAGGGGCGGCTGAAATTATAGCTTCTCAGAAGAGGGGGCTGGCCTCCAGAGAGACCCTGCCTCAGTTTACTGGGAACACCCCACCCCTTCTCTAAGCTTAGGTTCGGTTCCTACTTGGACCCTGGGGTGGTGATATGGGGAGTGCGTAGGAGACCCCCTGGCATCTCCTTCAGTCACCCGTAGCCCGTCCACTTAGGGATCTCTACCCACCCTCCAGACTCACACCCCAGCCCCTCACTGGCTGCTGCTCAGGGTGTCACCCAATGCTGGACACAGGCTGGACAGGGGCATGGGTCAGGTAGGTGAGCTGTCAGCAGGCTCCCAGGCACCTTAAGTCCCTGACAGAGCCCCCAGTCCTGTTGGGGGTCCTGGACCTGCAGTGTCTGCACAATCAACTTGGGGGGAGACAGCTGAGGCCCTGATGTTTGGCCCATGGCGGGGAGTGTCGGTGGCCACTTTGGGTACTTCTGACTGCAGTCTGTCTGTCCGAGCTCAGTGACATCTCCCAGGATTCTGGCCTCGCTGTTTCTCTGGCTGCCCTGGGACACCTGGCCTTCAGATACCACTGAGTCATAGGCTCTGAGCACTTGGCAGGAGCCAGCCCACCTCCCAGGGCCATGGAAGTGCAGGGACCTCGTCCCAAGTTTTCCCTGGTGGTCTCTGGGCCAGGGGAGGGTGAGAATAGCAAAGGCAGAGGTGGCAAACTGGCCACCCCTGGGTTCCCAACAACCTGGCTGCCACAACCAGACTACTTGTCCAGGTGGGCCCTGTTTCCGTCCCCCCAAGTCCTGGGGACAGCGAGCCCAGGACAGAGGTGGCTGCTTATGGGATATGAACCTGGCACTAACCCAGTAGCCCACTCTCACTCCTGGTCCCGTCCCCTCCCTGCCCCAGCACAGCTTTCACTTCCTCTGAGCCACTAGCAGAGTGGGGACCCCACCCGGGTCCTGGTCTCAGCTGGGACACTCGGTCTTCCTCTTGGGACTTGTCCTGCTTGCTGTCACTGCCAGCCCCTCGTCCCCGCCCACCCAGTGGTCAGGCCTGGCCCATCTGAGGGGGCAGCCCCAAGCTTGCCTT